AGTGAAACCACTGCCCTGGCCGGTTTGGCTCAGCGGTTGGAGCGTCGGCCTGCGGTACAGAGAGACCCGGGTTCAGTTCCCGCTAAGGGCACGTACCTCGGTTGCAGTTTGTCCCCGGCCCTGGTTGGTCGTGAGGGTGGCAGCCACTCAATGTGTCCCTTCACATCGATGTTTCTCTCTCTCTCTCTTCCTCTCTCTCCCTCCCGCTCTGTCTGAACAAAAAATGGAAAAATGTCCTCGGGTGAGGATAAAAAAAATAAAGTGAAACCACTTAAATAAGAGCCAAGCCCTGGCCGGTTTGGCCCAGCAGTTGGAATGTCAGCCTGCAGACCAGAGAGTCCCGGGTTCGGGTTCAGTTCCCGCTAGGGGCATGTACCAAAAATAAAAAATAAAAAAGAGCCAAAATTTTGTAGTGGGAAAATCAGGTTTTTGGATGGTGTCCTTTAAAATGCAATATAAAATGGGGAAAATGTAGCAACATCAATGCCAGCAGTTCTCAACCTCTTTCACCTCCCTCCCTCCCTCCTACTATATTTAAAATATCAATGGAAAGTGGGTCGCCTACCCCTTTGTGGGTCAAATGACCCTTTCATAGGGGTCCCCTAAGACCATTGGAAAACACATTATTTCCAGTTGTCTTAGGAACCGAGACACCTCTCCTCTATCCATCTCCAGGCGGGTCTGCCCACATGCAGATACACCCACATACAACATGATGAACTGAATTAAAGCATTAGGAAGGTTGAGAACCACTGATCAGTGCAATATTTCTGTTCAGGGAAGCCCATTAGAAACTCAATGCTTAAGGTTTATATTGAGGGCTGGTCATGCAGGTACCCTCTTTGTCTAGCACATACTAGAGTCCCGACTTCCAGAAGCATAAATTACATTGTTTGTGTAGACAGTTGAAGCACATTGAGCTATCCTTATCAGTTAAGGAAAGTTTTATATGAGCATAGACTGCTGTTTACCAGCCAAGTGCGCAGCTAAAAGATAACTTTGTGAGTGACCTTCTGAATAGCAGTTTCAGGCCAGCTACGTTAACTCTTTTCTAAACAATATTGTATTTAGGTTCTAATTGAAACATATACTAATTTCCAGAACAGCAAAAGCCTGTATAAAGCATTTTTTGGCCTAATTTTTCTGACAAAATTGTTTGTTAGCACATAGGACATCTTTTATTTTGTACAATGACCTCAAGGAAGGTCTTTTTTCAAAAATTTTGAAAGGCATTATAAGTTATTCCTAAATCCTCTATTAATCCTTTCATATTCAAATCCTATGATTTTTTTTTTTAGGTTAACAGATTTTCCTATCAGTTTCTCATTCATCAGTGGCTTCACAGTGCTTCAAGCATTTCTCCAACATTATTTTAATGTATGACATCAGGAAATCCTACATCTGTGCATTTTGCCTTTGTAATCAGTTTGTAGCATATTTCCATTTTATTGTTGGCTGTTTATATCAGTGACCAGTGTCAAACTGACAATCAAAAAGATTTTGATTTGATGGATAAGAAAGATGCCATGTTAATAATCTGGGAGGATGTTTGATTAGGTCAAATTTTATAAGTGTTCTTCTTGAGTAAGAATTTTCTTATTTTGAAGACTCTGTCAAGGGATAGAGAAAATGAACACTCAGATATAGAGTCCTCTGTAAAAATGAATGCCAAGAGCTGAAAATTAACAATAGGAAGTGGTAGAAGGAGAGCTTGGTTTAATTAAATTTAAAATATAATTCTTCAGTTTCACTAGTCACATTTCAAGTACTCAGTAGCTACATATGGAGAGTAGCTACCATATTGAACTTTGCAGATTAAAACATTTCTGTCATCACAGAAAATGGATAGCACTCTTGCCTAGGCAGGGATTGTTAAATATTTTCTATAAAGGGTTACATAATAAGCAGTTTAGGTTTTCCGGGCCACCCAGTCTTTGTTGCAACTAATCAACCAACTGCTGGTGCAGTGCTAAAGCAGCCATAGACAATATGTAAATAACTAGATGTAGCTGCTCCAATAAAACTTTATTTACAAAATCAGGCAGCAGACTAGATTTGACCAGTGTGGGCTATATTTTTGTATTGCGAGCTATTGCTTTATCACAGCGGTTCTCAACCTGTGGGTTGCGACCCCTTTGGGGGTCAAACGACCTTTTCACAGGGCTTGCCTAAGATATAACAGTGGCAAAATTACAGTTATGAAGTAGCAACAAAAATAACTTTATGTTTGGGAGTCACTACAACATGAGGAACTGTATTAAAGGGTCGTGGCATTGGGAAGGTTGAGAACCATTGAGTCCCAAGTGGTGATATAGACAAAGTTTGCTTTTGGAGTAAACTTCCATATCTCTATTGCCTTTATTTTAAGGAGATGGTATTTTTCATGATATTTTAGTTCCCTTGACACTGATATATTATTAATATCTTTCCTCATATTTTCATGAATTTTCTCTCTGTGTGAGCATTCTTCTATCATTGGCTCATTTTATTTTTGACTCATGTTGTCCCTTTTGTCCCTATTTGTTTATCTTGAGATAGGACATTGATAGATAAGCTAGAAAGATTAAAAAGAGAGCAAGAGAGACAAATATGTGGTATTGTTATCTGTGGGGAGCTCTCCTTGTCCCCACCGGTTGCTGGTAGAAATGGACTTCTTGCAGTGTTCCGAGAAAAAAAATTTTCTGAGACTCAAACAGGAGGATGAGGTATTGTAGAAAGCTTTATTTCTATGGAATTACACCCCTGAGTTTCTAAGGTTCCATTTCCCTCTGTTCTGCCATAGGAGGAGTGTAGCTGTGGCTTCAGCCATTGCCCAGAGTTTTTGTTCCAGTTTGGAGCAGTGTGCAGTCCATCATTAAGCATTAAACTTAGTTTGTGTTCCCAGTTGCAGCCCATCAGTCCATGGTGTGTGGTCCACAGGGCCATATGACTGTGGCAGGAACCTGGGCAAATGCAAGAGAGCCACAAAAGCCCAGAGCCAAGAGCACCAAGAGAGCCAAGAGCCAAGGGCATGAACTCCTTTGTTTGGGGGATTAGGTATTCCCTAATTTTCTTGGGCTTGCAGTGGTCTGGCACTCTCTAGCCCATAATTTCTGTTCCCAAGTTTGAGTGACTGGCATCTTCCCTACATCACCTCGACTTTACTGCACATGTGTTCATCTCCCCTTTATTGGACCCTTTTCCCCAGTAATCTGTGGGAAATGAGTTAGCGGTTCCCTGGGGAGTATGAAATTGCAGCTTCCTGGTGAAGCTGCCCAAATGATATGCTTATAATGTGTGACCTTCCCTTTGCTCCTTCCTATTGTTAACTAGCTAATTACAGTAGTATCAATATTGTAGACCTATTGAACCATATAAATTTAATTCTTAGATAATTTTTTTTACTCTTGCATGACTACATGTGAAGCTATTCAACACCCTATTTTCTTTGTCAACTTTTACTTTCTTTTTAAATCTTAATTTCTGTTTTAAGTTATTTTCCAAGATGGTCATGTACTGTACCTGGAAAATGTAGAGAACAAAAGGATGAGGAACAGGAGAATAAGAAAAAAAAGATAAAAAGTGGATAGGGATGAATATTCACTTTTGGACAAGATATACCCTCCCACCTTAACCATTAGAAGAGTGAATAAGATATATAAAATCACAGTTTTGAGACATTGGACAACAAGCCATACAGCACAGTGAGCCCTGAGAAAAAGGAAACAAGTGAAATGAATCCTGTAATTGCCATACCTTATGGGTCAGAGGAAGTTTCCAAGCAGAAGCATAAGGAGAGAGATACAAACAGCCCTATGGTTTCAGTGAGTTGAAGAGATAGAATGTGGAGTTTAAAATCCAACAGCTAGAATTTATGAGGCAAAATACCAGAAAGGGCTCTTGCCTTGCCACCAGAGAGTTGTGTGGAGGCTGAGGCTTGAGTGCCTTCAAGATTCAGCGCCACTCATGGCTGAGGAAGGTTGGAGTCGTTTGCTTCGTGCAAATGGAATCACTGGATGTTTTTTATTAATTGACATACCATAAACTAATTAGTAGCCATCTTTAACTTTGATCGATTATAAGTTGACTTCTAATACATAACTTTGAGTTATTTAGAGAAACTTTATGTATTTTGCTCCTAAAATGTCACAATCTTTTACCTTAGTTTCCTCTTCTATAAAATAATGGGGTTGGAGTAGATTATTTCTGTATTTCCTTTTATCTTTAACATTTTGTGAATATAAATCAGTTATTTAGGGCACATATTTGTATAGACGTTATTAGATTGGATATCAGGTTTTCTGAAATATAGTCCAAATAGAACTTTCAACTATGTCTTAATAGCAATTTATAATACAGTTTATAATATAACATAATCCTGAAGTGATTCTTACTCCCTTCTCCACCCCATCCTCCAGCAGCTTGGGGGAGAGAGAACAAAGGGCTTTGTTGAAGAGATCAGCCCTGGCAGGTTTAGTTCAGTGGTTAGAGCATCGACCTGTGGACTGAAGGGTCTTGGGTTCAATTCCTGGTCAAGGGCACATACCTGGTTGCAGGTTCAATCCCTGGCCCCAGTGGGGGTTGTGTGGGAGGCAACCCATTGATATGTCTTTCTTATATCGATGTTTCTCTCTCTGTGTCTCTCCTACTCTCCCTTCCACTGTATGTAAAAAAATCAATGGAAAAATATCCTCCTGTGAGGATTAACAAAAAAAAAAAAGAGAGAGAGATCAAATAAAACCTACACCCAATTTACCTATGTCTGCCTCTTACTGCAATCAAGGCAGCATATCTGATACTTCCATGTCATCATGTTTGGTTCTCTTGTCGGAACAAATCAGGCCAAATCAGTGGATTCACTTGTAGCTGTCATATCAAATTTAATAAAAATGTTCTTGGCCAGAGTTTGAAAACTTTCGTTTTTGATAACTTTTAATGCTTGGTAATGGGGTATTGTAATGAAAGCAGAAATTATTGATCTAAGGTGTTAATGGAGATAACTTTGGAAATATACCTTCTAGGCAGCTGAGATTCTACTGCAACATGGAGCAAACCCTAATCAAAAGAATCAAAAACAGAAGACTGCTTTAGATGAAGCAGATAATGAAAAAATGAAAGAGCTGCTAAAATCGTATGGTGCTGTTGAGACTGATAATAGAGATGAAAGTAATGCTATACCCACTGGTATGTATGTCAGTATTGCTTACTCTTTTATGTATACCTCTGCTTAGAAAAATAAAATATTTATATTTGTAGTGTAAATTGTTTTATAACTGGGGAATAGATGTTTTGTATGTTTATTGAACTCTTGAAAAACATTTATTTTTAGGAAGTAGCATTAATAAATGGTTTACTCTATAAATCATATGATCCTATTAGATTTGGAGTTACATGTTGAAATAAAACCCATACCATTTATTAAATAAACATTACTCTCCCTAACATAGAGATATAACTAAAACAATGCAGCTTGGTTTATTTGTAGTGGGACTGGAAAAGAATAAAAGACTACCAACTCTTTGCAACTAAGATTTCATTACTTCAAAATTTGTAATGATTCGTATAAAAGTTGGACTAATGCCAGCTTTTAAAGAATCTAATATTCTAATGCTAGAATACTAATTTGTTAAGCAAATATATTGGTATCTGTGCAATATAGTAGTGAAAAAAAATTTTCAAGGGGTTGTATAGCCAGGCAAAATTTTATGAACCATTTTATAGCAGTTTATTTTATGAACCATTATATAATGAATTATCTATATAAAATAGGCATTTAGTAAACACTAATTTAGAAAACATATTTGCAGAGTACCTGCTATGCAAACCAGGCACTCGCCCATGAGGAGCTTCCAGTCTTGTGGAGAAACCAACCAGAAGACAGGCAATTCCACACAATTTACTGTGTTGAGAAGGAATTGTTCTACCTTTTCCGTTATGCTTGAGCCTTGACTCTTAGAAAAAGAAACCAGCAACATAATCTGCCCTCTTTCTTTATGAGGGAGAATGTTGGGAAGAGTCTGTCACACATTTCTACCCCCACCTAACACTGCTTTTACCAACTATTTGTTTTCAAGGGAGGAATCATATTATTAATATGATTGGTTAGAGCTAAGAATAACCATTGTGTCGTATTTTACTAGTAAGCTAAATCACGTGTAGGACAAGGTCAAGACTAATGCAAGGTTTCTCTTTTCATATCCTGCTACTATATGATAAGTCCATAGGGTCAGAGCCTTTTTTTTTAGAGCCCCATCTGTGTCTCTCTCACTTCCCACAGCCATATCTGAAGGTTCAGGTCTCATGAATTATATCAGCTCAGCTTAAGAGAAGCCTTGCATTTGAAGTTACTGGGCACTCTGTTATATAAAGTACTATATCTATTCCCACTTGTGTGTTGTTTCTTGTGTACATATTTCCTCGGTCAGGTTCCCCGCAAAGGGATGAGGGATGTAGAATACAATGATTATATGGAGAAAGGGAATCTAGAATGGGAGAAGGAAAAGAGAGAACTTGACAGAGACAAGGAACCATAATCATAGTGATTAACAGCATGGACTTTGGAGTCAGATCTGGTTTTCGTACTAGCTGTGTGACAATTAGGCAACTTCCTGAATCCCTCTAAGTTTCACTTTCCTCTTCTGTAAAATGATTATAAGAAACTACCTATCTCACTTGGTTCATATGAAGATTAAATAAGATGATTCAGGGAAAGATATTGATATTTAGCATGTGATAAGAATTCAATAAATATTAGCTATAATTAATCAATTGATAATAAATACTAAGGCATTGACCAACATTAATATAAGAATTGTAGACTTAATTTATCTATTCCTATCACCATTACAATTGATATAATGAAAGTAAATTTTTACACATTCTTATTATATTTTCTAATTTTACTTTTTAAAGTAAAAATTCCTACTGTCCGGTCCAAACGACACAAACCATGTTTTCATGATGACTTAAAAACTGTTCATCCACCTTCTGTTTCACACCAAGAAAAAAGAAGAGAAAGCCTTCATATGGTGAGTAAAGTTGAAATCTTTTGTTTTTCAGCCTAGAAAATGTCATCATTTGGGCTAGCCACACTTTGACAATTGGCTGCACTCTTTTCATTTTAAGGACATGCAGGTTGAAAATGTTTTTTGTCATAAGAAAATATAGCATAATTGAACAGAAGAAGCCAAGAAGATATGTTGTATGGTTAATTCTCAATTTTCTGCATTGATTAAGAATTATACATTAGCTGCTTTTACACCTAGGTTTGGTTCTTTGGCTACCTCTTGTTCTATAGATACTTCCATAATCATAATGTGTCTTCATTCACCCACTTCCTAAAAGTATCTAGGATACATATTAGGTAGAAAAGACCCTGAACTTCATACAGAGAAGAGGAAAGCAATCTGGTTTAGCTAACCTGGATCCCACATGATTTATAGTGGTAGATAGCGTTTGCAAAATAACATAGTAGTTGCTCAATAAAATATATATTAATTGATAAGATATATATCCTTACTTTGACAAAAACACAAAGCGTACTAGATCCTGACATTTTTTATTTTTTAATCCTCACCTGAGGACATTTTTGCATTTATCTTCAGATAGAGCCGGAGGGAGAAAAGGAGGAAGAGAGAGAGAAAAACATCGATGTGAGAGAGACACATCAAGTGGTTGCCACCCACACAACCCCAACTGGGGCTGGGACAAACTGCAACCGAGGTACATGCCCTTAGCGGGAACCGAACCTGGGACTCTCTGGTCTGCAGGCCGATGCTCTAACCACTGAGCAAAACTGGCCAGGGCCTAACTTACTTCTTAAACAAAGTAGTATCCTCAATGAAATATTATTTTGAATAAGGTTATGCATGTTGATTTGGCTTCTCTTACATATTTTCGGTTGGTGTAGAGAGGAAAAATGTCATTAATTGAACCCAAATTATGATTAATCATATAATTTGTACCTTAAATATTTTAAGTGGTATTCAAAACTAACTTGCATTTGCCTCAGCACTTTGAAAAAATTTTGCATTGTTTCCTGGTGTCTGTGGTAATAAATGTAAAGTCAACTTCAATCAAATTGTCATTTCTTCATAGATAATCTGTCTTTTAATCTCATAGCTTTTAAGATTTATCTTTTATTCTTTTATGTTCTAAATGTGGATATGTTGTTATTAATTATAGTCAGGACTAGACATGCTTCTTTAATCTGAAGACATTTCTTATTTGTATTCTGGATACTCTCAGCCCTTATATGAATATTGTCTCTCTTTCATTCTCAGTATTCTCTCTTTTTTGGAACTCCTATTTAGGTGTGTGTTAGGCCTGTCTCCATGTCTTCTAATTTGTTTTTCATATTTTCTATATTTTAAACTCTTCATATTATATTCTAGGGGATTTTTTTGGATTTCTCTTCCAATTCATTGTTTTTCTTCTCAAATATTTCTAATCTATTCAACCTATGCATTGAGTCTTTAATTTCAATGACTTTTTTATTTCTAGAAATTGTTTCCTTTTCAAATATCTGTTAAAAAAGAAAACAAACAAAAAGACTTTTTGGCTCTTGCCTTACAATATTGATAGCATTTTTAAAAAATCTTTTCGAACATTTTTGAAGGAATTTTAAACTCTCCTCCTCTTTTTTATGATAGCATGCTTTTTCATGTGGTTTGTATTTCTTTTTTTATTCTAGTCTCACTTCAGTGATGGTTGTTGATGGTGGGAATTTTGGTGAGTCTGGGCTTTCTGTTTAACATTTGCTTCTGCTGTTAACAAACCTAGAGGTTTGTTAGTCACACACCAATTTTTATGCTAATATCTCCCTTTGGTTTCCTGAACCACACATTGTGTAAATTTAGTTCTTATATACATATGTGACAAAAGTAGGTCTCTACTTTTCTACATAAAGCCTGGATGGGTGACAAGTAGAGTTTTTCTAATCCTTGTCTAACCTAAAGCAAACCCACTCTGGGCCACTGGCTTTATGCAGGAACTCCATTATAACTCCCTCCTTGTGTGGGCTTGAGGCCTTATCTCCTGTGCCTGTGTGGGTATTAAAAACCTAGCCCCTAATATCTATGTTTGTTCCAAATCCCCATGGACTGACTACTGCTAACTTAATTTCTGGCACCGAGGAATTTTCCTTTCTTTTTCCATTTTTAGCTATGTATGTGTTTGTATGTTTAAAGCTTATTGTATTTTGTCCAATGTTTTACACCATATTGTATCTTAAAGGTATATTTTTTATGTAAAGATTAGACCATTGTGAAAAACCACTCTATTCTTATTAACTATATGGCTATTTGCTTCAGAAAAAAATATATATTGTTTTAGATGCCAAGCGTTAGAGAAAGTGCAATGGAGCTATAACAGTCTAAAGAAAACCAACTTTACAAAAAAGAAAAACTCAAAAGAAATATGAGGACTTTAGATGTAAAATTGGTTTTGAAAATTGGAAATTTCAAACCAAATTGGAGATGAGGGATAACTCTGTAGCCACATACAAAGGAAATGAGATGATTTTAGTTTGGTACTACCTTCAGATCATAGCATGTAGGCAGCCTCCTTCTCTATCCCCATATGAAATAAGTACGAAAGAATAATCACGGTAGACATTCACTGAGTACCCATCATATGACAAGCTGTCCTCTAAGTACTATATTAATGCATTTAGTCCTCATGATAACTCTTTTAGTTCAGTTCTGTTATTATCATTACTTTCCTCATTATAGATGAGGAAGCTAAAGTAAGAGAGGTTAAGTAATTTAATCCAAAATTAAGTAGCTATGCCAGAATTAAACTCCAGGCAATCTGGTTCCGCAGCCTGTACCCTTCATCACTGTTCTATATTGTACAAAATTTAGAAGAGGTGTCAGAGGCAAAGATGATCCTGCCATAGTAAAAATAGAAAATCTGGAATAAAATCATACTGAAGCTTTACAGTAAACAAAATATAAACTGTGTAAAGCTGTGTTTGTTTCAAAGACATGTCCCAGGTTAGTTTTTTGTTTTTGTTTGTTTGTTTGTTTAAGATATCAAGCAATAATGAAGGACTAAGAAGGGGGGTCTTGGAGGAAAGGTTGTGGTAGACCCTCCAAGGTGGAATATAGAGCTGATGTGGAGTGAAAGTTTATGGCCAGTGGTGGCTGAGACTGTGCATCCACACTTTAAGGTAAAATAGAAAAGAAAGTCAGCATCAGAAGTGGTTTTCTTTATCCAAAACTGTAGGTAGAGGCTTAGCATGGGCACAAATTCAGTCCCTTAATGTGCTTTTATAACCATAGCCATTCAATGCAAAAAGAAAGAAAACTCGTCATCTGTTTATTTGTTTTGTATATTTATATTTTATAGTCCTGTTTTGATTCATTTTATAAACAATGGCAATGAGATTGCTTTTCCACATAATTGCGTGGTTTTATTATTTGCATTTTCTATGTCCCTTCTGGGCACTAAAGTAAAATTTCAGAGCAACATACTTCAGAAGGCTTTGAGGACCTACACGTCTTAATAATGAATGTGTGTGTGTGTGTGTGTATACACATTGTTTTAATCCTCATTCGAGGACATTTTTGCATTTATCTTCAGATAGAGTGGGAGGGAGAGGGGGAGGAAGAGAGAGAGAGAAACATCGATGTGAGAGAGACACATCGACTGGTTGCCACCCTCACGACCCCAACCTGGGCCAGGGACAAACTGCAACTGAGGTACGTGTTCTTAGCAGGAACCGAACCGGAACTCTCTGGTCTGCGGACTGACGCTCTAACCCCTGAGCAAAACCTGCCAGGGTGAGAATATATATATATATTTTAAAGGATAGAAAGTATGAGTCAATCCACCAGTTGTCTGTTGAGCAACAACTATATGTCCAACAATGTGGAAACCACATGTAAATATAAAAATTATGCTCCTGCTCTGGACGGTTTTGCTCAGGGGTTAAAGTGTCAGCCCGTGGATCAAAGAGTCTCAGGTTTGATTCTGGCCAAGGATATGTACCTTGGTTGTGGTTCATCCCTGGCCCTGGCCGGGGTTGTGTGAGGGGCAACCAACCAATGTGTCTCTCTCACATCGATGTTTCTCTTTCTCTCCCTCCCTCCCTTCCATTTTATCTGAAGATAAATGGAAAAATATCCTCGGTAAGGATTAAAAAGCAAAATCATGCTCCTGCCTATAAGATCTCATTATCTTGATGGAGAAATATAATGTGTAAGACATATATATTAATACTAAATTCTGTAGCACTGAAATTCTTAAGTAATTCTGAGAAAGGAGAAGTCAGTATGGATTAGATTACTAAGAAGTTTTGTGTATGAGATGGGTTTTATATAATAATAAGCAGTATTTATTGAGCTCTTACTTTGTGCTGGCACTTTTTCTAACTTTCTAACATTTTACATATGTTACTCAATTCAAGCAAGGAGGACAGTGACTTGCTGGAGTAAGCAGCCAGGAAGAGATGGAGTCAGAATTCACACCCAGGCAGCTTGGTTCAAGAGTACATTTATGATTCCATCTCATAAGAAAGAGAGGGATCTGGGCAGAATAAATTGCAGATGTTCCAGGAAGGAAGATCAATATTGGCAGGAGTGTAAAGATGTGGTCTTAAATCCCCTTTGTGAGTTTTTTAAAGTAGTGTTTTGTATTTCTAATATGTGATATTTTAATAGGATGCAATGATAACCATAAAGCCTTAAAGTGAATTTGTTGCATATATGTTATCATTAAATATTATGTGCTGAGTTGGTTTTTTTTTTTCTCTTACACCTGTAATTATAACAGATGAAAATGAAAAATTATGATTCTTTATATGGTTGCTATTCTTACATTCTATTTTCCAGGAATAGATCTGCTACTTAAATCAAGACATAATTACATTTATTTTTCTCTCTTAAACATGCATATTTATATAGCTAAGATAAAACAAAACGAGTACATTTTGAATGTAAAGGGAAATGAGTATTTTTAATAGCACTTTCTTTGGCACTTTTATTGTGCATTTTTCAATTGCATATAAGAAACATCTCCTTTTTTATAAAGAAGTTTTTAATATTTTTATCTGATAGCATCAGACCATCAGTGCCATTCTACAAGATATAGAAGAAAAACAAGAAAATCTATTGGAGTTTGAAATAAGGACCCCTGAAGATGCAGGTAAATATGGATTCATATTCAAGTTTGAGTCATCGCTACCTTATCTTCTTACTGTACATGTTTATTTCCAAGCTCACAGTGGCTGAAAAAAAGGTGGCCTTTTTTTTTTTTTAATGTGAGAGTAAAATGCCAGGAATGATCATTAGAAGTTAATGATGCAAACTGGTAGTTGATGTAATTATTGATAAAGATACTTCTAGACACAAGGTATAGATAGCATGAGTAATTTGAAAGATACTCAGAACCATAATCAGAATAAGCTACTGCTGGTGATATGTTTAGATGAAGATGTGACAGAAAGCATAAGATAATGATTAGAGATAAGATTAAGTTATTTCTTGGCTCCTCAGCTTCACCCAACTATGGTAACCCTTAGCTAATTAGAAAAGGAATGTGTAGTGGTGATACAGCAGAACAAATCCTCATACTTTTCAAACGAGCAGATATGTCTTACTGCATAGATGTTTTCCTGTTTACTAAGCACTAGTGATTTAAAATAGTACATTAGACTGATTTCTAACCTAATAATTGTAATATCTCAAAACTTCAGTGAATATTTGCAAACCTTTGATAGCTCACAATTATGTTTTCTTGAGTTATGATTTACAAGGTAGAAAGTAGCTCCTGATAGATGCAGATCTAAATGTTAAAAGTAGTTAGCTAAAGGGTGAAGAGGGCCTAATATATGGTGACAGAAGATGATTTGACTTTGGGTGGTGGGCACACAGTGCAGTGTACAGATCTTGTAACAGAAACCCACACCTGAAACCTATATGGTGATATAAACCAATGTCACCCCAATACATTTAATTTTTTAAAAAAGTAGTTAGCTAAAAATAAAGTGATTTAAAATACCTCATCAATCTTTTGTGTAACAGGCTACATCTCTTGTCCTAATTCATGTAGTGATGATTTTTAACCATTTCCTTTTATTATTATATATTTTTAATTATACCCATTCTATTTTTCATCCTGGCCTAGCACATAGTACATGTTGTGTTGTGAGGAAAATAATACAAATAATTTATAACCCTGCAGAAAATGTATGGCTCATATATTTTATTTAGTATTTATAATCCTATGCATCTAATAGCTCTCAGGTAGAAGCCCGTATAGGCAGGATCAAAGGACAGGCTCCACAGCAAGTCTTCAGGATCCTGGCATCTTGGACCCACAGTTAGAAGGGAGGACAGTTCCAAAACAACAGCAGCTTTCTCTGTCCTGCTGTGGAAATTCCTTGCTCTTGAGGATCTCAACCTCTAGATGTTCAAGGAGAAAGCCAGATATGAATGAGTCCATTATCACCTCAAATGAAAGTTACTACGCTCTCAACAACTCTGAAAAACTGCTCCCATTAGGCTTTGGAAAGGGGGAGAAACCTCATCACCTCTTACTTTTGCTGCTCGGGATGGAGATACCCACCCAGTGAAGCAACAGCTCTCTAAAGAAATATCATTACAAATTCACCACCTTCATATTCTGACACCTTTTTATATTTTTGGTTTGCCTGAGGGGTCCAAGAGTAATGAATACCAGTTTGTATATTTCTTTGTAAATATTTCTTTTAGATGTCTTTCATTCACTTTGAGATCAGCTATCTTTAGTGCCTCAACTTTACTGAGCAGAAAAATATTCACTTTAAACATTTTATGATTTTGTTGGTAAGCATTTTAAGTCTATAATTCATCTAAAATCTCTTTTCCATGTGTGGTATTAGATAAGCATAGAAGAGGGTTCCCCCCATAATGTTTTTCTATTCTTATTTGTTGGATAATTTCTCTCATCTGCATTGTTTTATAATGCCTTAATATCACATATTAAAATTTTATACATGTTAGGGCAATTTCTAGGTTATTTCTAAGATACCATTGATTAATTAAATGTCTCTTTGATAAATAAATATTAAGTTACATGTAAATATCTTTTTATCCTTTCTTATAGAAACAGAATCTTTTAGGTTACTGTGATAATATTATTTTTACCTGTGCTTTAAAATTCATTTAGAAAACCCAATGAGACAGGATACATAGATAATGTAAATTTCAGTATCACATATACAAATGTATATCTAAATTCTTAATGATCATAGGTTTCCCCCCTTCATTAGCACATGCATCGCATTGTGAAACTAACCCTTCTGGGGAGACAAAAACTACTCTGGGAACACTGCTTTTATTATACCTATCAAGTCATTTGTCTGATTTGCAAAGGCAGGTTCTGGAACTAATTCCAACTCTGAACTTCATGTTATTTCTCACCACTGATTTTCTCTAGAAAAAATATCTATTATTAAATTATTAAATTATCTAGAAAAATATGCATTAGTCTAAAAATTCAGGCAAAAACATAAGGGAACAAAGCCAAAAGTGAAATGAATAGCAAGTAGCTTAAAAGAATAAAATCTAAGCCTTTCATTTTCCTACTTGGGACTCTGTATTTGGATATAATCGATATTTATGTGTAAATCCTGTGGATTTATGATGGGGATGGGGGAGTACATGATGCCTTTACTGAGGAGGCAATGGAATAAAGTAGGAAAATGTTAATTATTACAAAACTTATTTTATATAGATCTATAAGTGATCTTTGATTTCATATAGCCTTATCTAAGTGTTAATTGTAAACAGCAAAAACGGATAGCACAATTCTCATTTTTAAACACATATAATATGTAGTTACATATAGTAAAATATATAGAATAAAACATTATGTAAGTATATTTAATATACATACATAAATACATACACTGCTACCAAGGTATGAACAGCAGTCTCTTTCATGAAGTAAAATAGAGGTAAATTTGCGGGGGTGAGTGCTATACCCTTACTTTTCTTCTGTGTAAACATTTATATTTTTTGAAATTATTTTTGACAACAATAATATTTTTTTTGTCTTTAAAAAAGTAAATAATTGTATCAGGCAAAATACTTTAACTTCCTATTTATCTTTCTTTACTCCCCTTATTTCATAGGTAAGGAAGCTGACCATAGAGGTCATGTGACTTGTCCAGTTTCACTGACTTTAGTCAGTGGGGTAGCAGGATTAGAACTAAGGCTGGCCTGCTCTTTCTTGGTACAATGTTCTTACCTATACACTTTAGGGTACTTCCATAGGGTGAAGTCAGTCAATAAGCCTTGATTTATGTATTTGAACCATTGATATTGTGGAAGAGGGTGGAAATACTAACTTTTAAAAATTAACAGTAAGGCCGAGTCCTATGTGACCAAATTTGTTTGTCATCTTTCAGTCAACTGACTTTTTACTTTATTACCATGCTTCTAGAACAATACACCAAAAAGATGTTAGAGATAAAAGAGGTTATGGATAATGTGCTTGCCAAACAGAAGGCAGAAAGGGATGATCTGGCTAAAAAATACAGGTAAGTGAAAAAAATAGTAGTGTGTTAAGAGTTATAAGAATTTATCCATTTTAAGTTTTAATAATAAGGTCTAGAATTTCTTAGAATACCAATTCTTAAGAATTTTGCTTAGGATCAAAAAATAACTTTATAAGGTTATCTAATCTCCTACTTCCATGGGGAATTACACTTCTCAGAAAGATATTTTTCTTCTTTACTCCTGGAAATATTCAGAAAACAAAAAGTTGTAGAAAAGTTGTCTACAGCCAAGAACTTTATGAAAGCCTTTCTGGTTATGAATCCCAAAAATAATTTCTTTTTTTTTAGTAAACTCATATTTTTTACATTACATTTTTTTCTTTTTACTATCACAAATGTTTTCCTCAACAGTTTACTTATGTATATTTTGTGGGTTTCTGTACTTATTTTGTTAATCCTCACCCGAGGATATTTTTCCATTGATTTTTAGAGTAGAATACAGGGAGGGTGAGAGAGAGAGAGAGAGAAACATCCATGTCGGAGAGACATATTGATTGGCTGCCTCTTGTACGACCCTGATAGGGGCTGGAGATCAAACCTGCAACTGATGTACATACCCTTGACCAGGAGTCAAACCTGAGACCCTTTGGTTCATGGGGGGACACTCTAACCACTGAGCCAAACCAGCCAGGGTTTCTCATCCATTTTTGTTGTTAATCCTCACCCAAGGATATTTTTCCATCGATTTATTTATTCATTTATTTATTTATTTTTTAAATCTTCACCTGAAGACATTTTCCCATTTTTGTTCAGATAGAGTGGGAAGGAGAGAGAGGGAGAGGGAGAGAGAGAGAAACATCAACGTGAAAGGAACACATCGAGTGGCTGCCTCCCACACAACCCCAACCAGGGCCCGGAACAAACTGCAACTGAGGTATGTGCCCTTAGTGGGAACTGAACCCGGGTCTCTCTGGACGCAGGCCAATGCTCTAACCACTGAGCCAAGCCTGCCAGGGCCCATTGATTTTTTTGTAGATAGAGTGGAAGGGAGAAAGAGAGAAAGAAAGAGAGAGAGAGAGAGAAACATCAATGTGAAAGAAACACATTGATTGGTTGCCTCCTACACAATTGTGGTTGGGGTCAGGGATATGTGCCCTTGACTGGAATTGAACCCAAGATCCTTCAGTCTGCAGGCCAACACTCCAATCACTGAGCCAAAGCAGCCAGGGACTCATCCTTTATATATATGTATGTGTCGTGTGTGTGTGTGTGTGTGTGTGTGTGTAATTTTTTTTTTTGTTTGGGCATTATTTTTATTAGTTTTTTATAGACTTAGCTACATATGTCCCATATATTTTCTTGTCATGAGATCTTTTAAAATTTATTCTCTTAGCAACTTTCAAATATACAATACAGTATTATTAACTGTAGCCACCATGCTGTGCATTACATCCCCATGACTTACTTATATCTGGATGTTTGTACCTTTTGACCACCTTCATCTATAGTGCCCACCTCCTGCCTCCCCACCTCTTGTTCTCTGGATCTATTTTATAGATATATATAGATAGATTTAGATTTTATGTGTAAATGAGATCATAGGGTATTTGTTTTTTTGTGACTTATTTCATTTAACATAATGCCCTCAAGGTCCATCTGTGCTGTTACAAATAGCAGGATTTCCTTCTTTTTATGACTGAGTAATATTCCACTGTGTGTGTGCATGTGTGTTGCATTTTCTTTATCCATTCATCCATTGATTGACACTTGGGTTGCTTCCATGTCTTGACTGTTGTGAATAATGCTGTAGTGAATATGCAGGTATCTTTTTGACCCTATTCTTTATTCACACATAATCTTTCTAATTTTTTATATTCTTGTCTCATAATCATTTGACATCTATTATATGTTCAGATTTTTTTCTGAAATTATTTTAAAATCAGGTTTTTAAAATTTATAAATCTGTCTTTATCCCTATTTTGCCTTTCTCTCTAGTGAATAATATAAATTCTTTTCTGTAAAGCCAATGAGCTTATGGGACCTACAGATGGATAACTGACTAAAGGATATTTTCTAGGGGAGTTTAGAAAAGGCTAGCTTCAATTTTTCTTCATGTCCTTTGATTAATAAGATACGTAGAATTTTGGAAAGTTCCTGATAAGTTAGGGTTTCAAGTGTAAAACCTTATTAATATTGCTATAAGACTTAAAATACTGTAAACTAAAGAGCATTTTTATTTTCTTTGTTTCATATAGTTTTATTTTTGTTTATTTATTTATTTAATCATTTAAAAATTTTTTCAATTACAGTTGACATACAATATTATATTAGTTTCAGGTGTACACCCCACTGATTAGACATTATAAAACTTACTAAGTGATCATCCCGAAAAATCTCATGCCCATCTGATGCCATACAGAGTTATTAGAATATTACTGATTGTATTCCCTATTCTGTACTTTACACCCCCATGACTATACTATAACTATTAATTTGTACTTCCAAATCCCTTCATATTTTTCACCCGCCCCCATAATCCCTCTTCCATCTGGCAACCATCAAAATGTTCTCTGAATCTATGAGTCTGTTTCTGTTCTGCTTGTTTGTTTATTTTGATTTTTAGATTCAGTTAATAGATATGTATTTAATGCCATTTTATTGTTTATATGTTAATCTTTTTTTTTCCTTCTTCTTCTTAAAGAAGACCCTTAGCTTTTTCTTGTCTGAGAATTTCTTTTCTTTTTTTAAACTCATCTTTATTGTTGAATGTATTACAGATGTTTCTCCTTTTTCCCCATTGACCCCCTCCTCCCCAATTCTGCCCCCCTCCTGCCTTCCCCACACTACTGTTGGTGTCCATTGGTTATGCATATATGCATAGAAGTTCTTTGGTTTATCTCAGCCCACTCTCCCTCCACCCTTCCTGTTGAGGTTCATCAGTCTAACAACCAATTTGTACTTCTTAATTCCTTCATCTTTTTCACCCATCCTCCCAGCCCCCACCCATCTGGCAGGCAACAGAAAGTTCTCTGTATCTATGAGTTTGTTTCTGTTCTGCTTGCTCATGTTGTTTGTAGATTCAGTTGTTGATAGATATGTATTAATTTTCATTTTATTGTTCATATTTTTCTTCTTCTTCACCGTCAAGAAGACCCTTCAACATTTCATATAATACTGGTTTGGTGGTGATGAATTCCTTTAGCTTTTTCTTGTCTGGGAAACTCTTGATATGTCCATCAATTTTAAATGATAGCTTTTCAGGATAGAGTAATCTTGGTTGTAGGTCATTGCTTTTCATCACCTTGAATATCTCTTGCCACTCCTTTCGGGCCTGCAAAGTTTCTTTTGAGAAATCAGCTGACAGTCTTATGGAAGCTCCTTTGTAGATAATGGACTGCTTTTCTCTCGCTGCTTTTAAGATTCTCTCTTTGTATTTAAGCTTTGGCATTTGATGATGATGTATCTTGGTGTGGATTTCTTGGGGTTCAACTTGTTTGGGACTCTGTGCTTCCTGAACTTGTATGTCTGTTTCCTTCACCAAGTTAGGGAAGTTTTCTGTCATTATTGTTTCAAATAGTTTTTCAATTTCTTGTTATCTTTCTGCTGTTTCAGGCACCCCTATGATGCAAATGTTGGCATGCTTGAAGTTGTCCCAGAGGCTTCTTACACTGTCCTCATTTTTTTTTTTTTTTTTTTGCTGTTCTGGTTGGGTGTTTTCTGCTTCCTTATATTACAAATCGATGGTTTGCTTCTTGGCTTTACCTACTCTACTATTGACTCTCTATAAATTATTCTTTATTTCAGTTAAGTCATCTTTAATTTCTGACTGGTCCTTTTTTATTGTTGATGTTCTCACTAAGTTCCTTGGAGGTCTTCTTAAGTTCCTTGAAGTTCTCAGTAAGTCCCTTGAATATCTCACCAAGGTCCCAGAGCAACCTTATAGCCTGTGTTTTGAACTCTGCATCTGTTAGATTGCTTATCTCCATTTTGTTTAGTTCTTTTCCTGGAGTTTTGCTCTTTTCTTTCATTTGGGTCATGTTTCTTTGTCTTCTCATTTTGGCTGCTTCCCTGTGATTGTTTCTATGTATTAGGCAGAGTTGCTAAACCTCCTAGGCTTCATAGGGTGGCCTACTGTTATAGTGTCCTGTAGGATCCAGTAGCACAGTCTCCCTGATCACCCCTAGTGTGGACTGTACACCCTTCTCTTGTATTTGAGTATTGATTGCTGTTGGCATGTTAATGGGCGGGATTTACTCAGGTTGATCAGCTGCAAGGACTGGCTTGTGCCCACTAGCCACTGGCCTCTGACTACCTTGGAGGATCAGCTGTATAGGGGCCCACCACACAGAGCAAGACTTACTTTAGCAGGGCTCTGGTGCCCACTGAGTCCACTCATTGAGTGTGTCACTTGTGGACATGGTATTGGGTGGTGGAGTTTCAATGTGGTTTGAAGCTGTCCACTGGGTGTGCTGGCTCTGAGGTCAGGTCAACCACTGCCGGTGTTCTATCCAGGGCCACCTGGCATAAGCTACAAAGTGAACTGCAGATGGCTGCTTCCTGTGCTGAGCTTGGAGGTGTCCAGGAAAAGCCAAGTTGTGAACCAAGGCTAGCTGCTTCTAGTGCCAGGCCTGGGGCCACTTAACGAGAGGTATAGGGCTCGCTGAGACTGGTCACTCTCGAGCCCTGGCTCCGCACCACTCTTGTGAGCCACTGGGTTGCACAAGTCTATCCAGAACCCCGGCTCCACGCTGCTCTTGTGGGCCGCTGGGTCGCACAGGACCCTATGGAGCCCCCAGTCCTGCTGCTGGTGGCTGGGGAGTGTGGCTGCCCAGTGGGGCCCAGCCCCTGTTCAGTCTTTACTGTAGTTTTCTTGGGGGAAAGGGATAGTTCTGTGCTGCTGGTCTGTGGTTCCATTGCCTGGGGATGGATGTCTGCTCCCCAGCCTCTGTCGCTGGGGGTATATCTCAACTCTGATCGGGCTGCTACTGCAGGGGATGGTGCTGGGCTCCTGGCCATTTGCGATTTCCGCAACTAGCACCTTGACAGCTTCACTACTGTGCACTGGTCTGTGTTGACATAGGGTATCCACTGGCCTGATGGTGCCAGGTGCACTGGTGGGCTCAGGTACCCGATGCTGCTTGTTTGAGAGATTTTAGGAAACTGAAGCAGGATCCAAGACAGGTCACTCCTATGGTAAAGCCTTTAGAAACAGCTTGGCTGGGCCCAAAATTTGGGTGGGGCAGGGCCAACAGTGTGAGCCAGGTTGCTGGAGTCCCAGATGTGGCAGCAGTCTGCCTGCCCTGTGGGGGAAGGGTTCACCAAAGGAACAACAGCCTCCACCAGCACGTCTGTCCAGGAGAAAGTTGCCCCTCCAGCCTCATCCGGAGGCCAAAAAGCTCAGTTCTTCTCTGTTCTCTGGTGCCCCTCAAGCTGCCTCTCCTCCCAGCTCAGAGGGAGTGGGTCTGAGTAAGTCCTTGCAAGGGTCCTTTAAGAGGAACTGCTGGGGTTTCTGCAGCCACAGCCTCCCTCTGCCTCAGTTCTAGCTGGTTTTTATAGCCAGAAGTTATGGGGATTTTTTTTCCTGGCACTGGAACCCTGAGCTGGGCGCCTGGTGTAGGATGGGGACCCTCACTTCTCAGCTGAGATGTCCCTCCTGATTTATATCTGCCACACGTGGGTGTGGGACCAGCCTGTCCGTGCCTCTGCACCTCCGCCCCTCCTACCAGTCTTGGTGTGGCTGCTTTAATTTCCTAGTTGGAGGACTTCCATTCAGCTTGATTTCAGACGATTCTGAATGATGGTTGTGTTGTAGTTTTGTTGTAATTTTGATGTGGTTGTGAGAGGAGGTGATACTGTGTTTACCTATGCCACCATCTTGAATGGAAGTCCTATCTGGGAATTTCTTTTTCTGTTCTTCAATTCTAAATGATAGCTTTGCATAGAGTAATCTTGGCTGGACGTTTTTGCTTTTCATCACTTTGAATATTTCTTGCCACTCCCTTCTGACCTGTAAAGTGTCTCTTGAGAAATTAACTGACAGTCTTATGGGAACTCCCATATTGTAACTAATTTCTTTTTTCTTGCTGCTTTTAAGATTCTTTGTTTGTGTTTAACCTTTGGCATTTTAATTATGATGTGTCTTGGTGTGGGTCTCTCTGGATTCATCTTGTTTGGAACTGTCTGAACTTCCTGGACTTGCATGTCTATTTCTTGCACCAAGAAAGGGAAATTTTCTGTTATTATTTTTTCAAATAGGTGTTCAATTTTTTGCTCTCCCTCTTCTCTTTTCAGCTGAGGGGTCTTGTGTGGGGCTGGGACCCCTCACTCCTCAGATAGGACCTCCACAGCCAAGATATCCCTCCAGATTAAAAGCTCCTACATGTGGGTATGGGACCAACCAACCTGTTTTGTGCCTCTGCTCCTCCTACCAATCTCAATATAGCTTCTTCTTTAATTCCCTAGTGATAGGACTTCCATTCAGCTAGATTTCAGGCAGTTCTGAATGATGGTTGTTCTGAAGATTTATTGTATTTTTTATGTGGTTGTGGGAGGATCAAGTGTCATGTTTACCACCCTGCCTATTGAATGGAAGCCTCTTTTTTTCAGTTTTAAATGTGATATTGTTAATTTCTTTGTTCTTTTTTCATCAATTTATTTTCTTGCATTTTACACTACCAGTTGCTTGTTAATCTTATTTTTCTTGATACTTCTTCTACTTACATCTCCTACTTGCTTTAATACCCAGTCTATGTGGAGTTCAGTACCAACAACTTCAAGCTGTGATAGCAGAAACAGATATCTATATTACTGCTTTCCTTAAAACAGCTGTTCTTAATGGGTGGTCCCTAAGGGTCTCTGACACTATTTCATGGCATCTATGAAGTCAAAACTATTTTTCTTTTCTTTTTTCTTTTGGTTAATCCTCACCCGAGGATATTTTTCCATTGATTTTTAGTTAGAGTGGAAGGGAGGGAGAGAGAAAGAAACACTGATTGGTTCCCTCCAATAGGACCCTAACTGGTGGCGGGGATTGAACCTGCAACTCTGGTACATGCCCTTGACAGGCAATCAAACCTGAGACCCTTTGGTCTGTGGGCTGACATTCTTACTGCTGAGCCAAACCAGCCAGGGCTCAAAACTATTTCTTAAGAATATTAAGATGTTATTTGCCTTTTTTTTGCTCTCATTCTTTCATGAGTTTACAGTGGAATGTTCTTGAAGCCACATGGTGTATGATGACATCATTACTCTAATACCTAATGGAATGTGTGCTTGGGTATTCTTGTGTTTTTAAATTTTCTCGGTTTTATTTTCTAAGATAGTAAATATTGATAGATACAACCCTTAAACAAAAGCTCTTTGAGTTTCTCAATAATTTTTAAGAGTATGAAAAAGTCCTGAGAACAAAAAGTTAGAGAACTACTAGAGACAAGGTGTTGGAGGACACCCTGAAGATAACTGTGGAATAGGTGGTTGTAACCAAGAAGCAGAGATATGGATGAGCCATTTCCTTCCACTTAGTCCTCAACCCCAGGGAGATTTGGTTTGGGCAAGGCACATAGGATAATGCTTGTCTGAGTAGTCCCTCTGGACTTGAAAATGCTTAGTACACATTCAGAGTACAATTACAGTAATTGTTGAACTGAATTTCGTAGATCTAGCTCAGGTATATTATTCACAAAACATCTCACTCTTCAATAGCTAAGGGAACTTGAATGGAACTCACAAATTTTACTTCCTTATATACCTTTCCACTATAAACAGGTAAGGAAACTTCAAATTTAAAGAATGGTGTTCCTCCTCGGCCACCAATTGCTAGCTTCCAAGTAAAGGACTAGTAGATATCCAGATAGACTACCCACGTTTTATTTCTCTTCAAGGGCTGACTCACAACTGCTAAATAATGATATGAATATAAATGTGGATGTACATGTGGACAACCATACTGCCACCTCCTTAAAAAGGCAAACTCACCTTAAGAGTCAGTTTTCTCTAACAGGAAGTACATTGCAAAGACAGACTCTTGTGTACTTTGAAGTGTTAAAATTTAAATTGATACAAAGTATCTTTAAAATACAAATGACTGTTTAAAATAAAGTTTTCTACTCAGTATTTTTTTTTTATCTCTTTCTGTTTCTTACTATAGGGTGTCCATAGAATCATTTAAGCATGGTGTCCTGAGAGAACAACTGGCTAACCTGGCCACAAGACAGAAGAGTCTTTTAGTTGTGGCAAAAAAACAGAAAAAAATAAGCCAGAAAATTCAAAACTATAAGAATGTTACATCTATGTCTGGTCTTAGTTTGAAGAAACTGCCATCCAGCTCAGAGATCTCTTGTGAGAAGGACAGCCAAGAGCTTACCAGTCTGGAAAATTCAGTGCAGCCCCAGTCAGGTTTATTTTCTGTCAGCCCTGTTTGTGGAAGCATACAGGAAACACAGTTGTCTCTGGAAACATGGAATGACGACCAAAATACCAACACTTGTCTAAATTCAGAGACAATGAGAAGGGAAGAATTTTCTAGAAATGAGCTGGATTATAGACAGAACATCAATGACTGTACCTTTGATGGGTTATCTAAATCCAGAACTTCAGATGGCACTAAGAAGACTAAATTACCATTCCAACCTATTGCTCAAGCAGAATATTCACAAAAAGAAAATGATCTTACAGAAAATACAACCAACGATCTTGAATCCTATAGCTCTTCAGAACTAACTGGCACATTAAATACTTCAGAAGCCACAAGTATACTTGCCCCAAATGATGCCCACCCATCAACTGTTATTTGTGGTCAGGCTTTTTCCAGTTGTGATCCAAAAAGAGGAAACAGGAAAAGAGCTTTCCAGCAACCATCTAGGGGAGCATCAGAAACCCTGACACATCAAGATGTTGATGACATAGGCAGTGATATGAGGAATCAGATAAAACCATATCTTAAAAAATCAGCTTTTGCTGTTTCACATGCAAATGACAGTCTGAGCACCTCCTCCTCTGGGTCTGGCCGTCAGCATACTACAAAAAAGCCTTTAAACTACAGTACAGCTCCTAAAAAGAAATGTATGCAGATAAAGGATCTAATAGTACTAGGAAGAATTAACCCAGGACATAACATTTTGGAATTCAAAACACAGGTATCTTTTTTTTTCCTCTAAAATCATTTAAATTTTATAAGTGAATAAATGTTGCTGTTACATAGTGTAGACATTTACCTCCAATTAGTGAAATAGAGTTTGGATTGGGCTTCTTGAATGGAGGGACCACAACCATTGTATTCTTAGCAAGATGAAATCATGCTTCTGGAATTGCACTGTTACCCTGGATGGTTTGGCTCAGCGGTTAGAACATTGGCCTGTGGGCCAAAGAGCCTCAGCTTTGATTCCAGTCAAGAGCACATGCCTGGGTTGCCATCCAGTCCCCAGTCGGGGTTCTGTGGGAGGCAACCAATCAATGTATCTCTCTCACACAGATGTTTCTCTCTCTCTCCCTCTCCCTCTCCCTCTGTCTCTCCCCTGCTCCCAACTCTATCTGAAAATCAATGGAAAAATATCCTTAGTTAAGGATTAAAAAATATTGTTTTTAATAATAGAATTGCCCTATACATTTTAGTTACAAGCATCTTTGGGCTCTTGGACCCAAATTATATTGCACCAGGAAGGATTTAAGAACAACATAAAAATAATAAGTTGGAGCTGGCTTTGATTCCAAAGTTTTGGAAACTACCAGTGTACTGTTAAAGCTTCCCCTAATAAGAGATAAGTATAAATTTATCTTCCATAGAAACTCATTTTTTTTCAAGTAGTTTTTTAACTCATCTTTATTGTTGAATGTATTACAGATGTTTCTCCCTTTTTTCCCCATTGACCCCCTACTCCCCAATTCCACCCCCCTCCCCAATTCCACCCCCTCCTGCCTTTCCCACACTACTGTCAATGTCCACTGGTTATGCATATATGCATAGAAGTTCTTTGGTTTATCTTATCCCACTCTCCCTCCCCCTTTCCCTTTGAGGTTCATCAGTCTAACAACCAATTTGTATCTCTTAATTCCTTCATCTTTTTCACCCATCCCCTTGACCCCCATCCATCTGGCAGGCAACAAAAAGTTCTCTATCTATGAGTTTGTTTCTGTTCTGCTTGCTCATATTGTTTGTAAATTCAATTGTTCATAGATATGTATTAATTGCCATTTTATTGTTCATAGTTTTGTTGTTCTTCACCTTCAAGAAGACCCTTCAACATTTCATATAATACTGGTTTGGTGGTGGTGAATTCCTTTAGCTTTTTCTTGTCTGGGAAACTCTTGATATGTCCATCGATTTTAAATGATAGCTTTTCAGGATAGAGTAATCTTGGTTGTAGGTCATTGCTTTTCATCACCTTGAATATCTCTTGCCACTCCTTTCAGGCCTGCAAAGTTTCTTTTGAGAAAATCAGCTGACAGTCTTATGGGAGCTCCTTTGTAGGTAATGGACTGCTTTTCTCTCGCTGCTTTTAAGATTCTCTCTTTTTTATTTAAGCTTTGGCATTTTGATGATGATGTGTCTTGGTGTAGACCTCTTTGGGTTCATCTTGTTTGGGACTCTCTGTGCTTCCTGGACTTGCATGTCTGTTTCCTTCACCAAGTTAGGGAAGTTTTCTGTCATTATTGTTTCAAATAGTTTTTCAATTTCTTGTTATCTTTCTGCTCTTTCAGGCACCTCTATGATGCAAATGTTGGCATGCTTGAAGTTGTTTCAGAGGCTTCTTACACTATCCTCATTTATTTTATTCTTTTTTCTCTTTGCTGTTCTGGTTGGGTATTTTTTGCTTCCTTATATTGCAAATTGATGGTTTGCTTCTTGGCTTTTACCTACTCTGCTATTGATTCCTTGTAAATTATACTTTATTTCAGTTAGTGCATCCTTAATTTCTGATTGGCCCTTTTTTACGTTGTTGATGTTCTCACTAAGTTCCTTGGAGGTCTCCTTAAGTTCCTTGAAGGTCTTACTAAGTCCCTTGGATGTCTCACCAAGTTACCTGAGCAACCTTATAGCCTGTGTTTTGAACTCTGCATCTGTTAGATTGCTTATCTCCATTTTGTTTAGTTCTTTTCCTGGAGTTTTGTTCTTTTCTTTCATTTGGGATATGTTTCTTTGTCTCCTTATTTTGGCTGCTTCCTGTGATATTTCCATGTACTAGGCAGAGCTGTTATGCCTCCTAGGCTTCGTAGGGTGGCCTACTGTTGTAGGTGTTTTGTAGGATTCAGTGGCACAGTCTCCCTGATCACCCCAGCTGTGCCCTCACGGTGCACCCCTAGTGTTGACTGTACACCCTTCTGTTGTATTTGAGTCTTAATTGCTGTTGGCACATCAATGGGAGGGGTCTACTCAGGCTGGTCAGCTGCAAGAACTGGCTATGCCCACTAGCCACTACCTTGGAGGATCAGCTGTGTAGGTGCCCACCACACAGAGCAAGACTTACTTCAGTAGGGCTCTGGTACCCACTGAGTCCAGTCATTGAGTGTGTCACTTGTGGACGTGGTTGGGTAATGGTGTTTTGATGTGGTCTGAAGCTGTCCACTGGGTGTGCTGGCTTTGGGGCAAACTCAGCCACTGCCTGTGCTCTATCCAGGGCCACCTGGCATAAGCTACAACGTGAACTGCAGATGGCTGCTGCTTGTGCTGAGCTTGGAGGTGTCCAGGAAAAGCCAAGTTGTGAACCAAGGCTAGCTGCTTCTAGTGCCAGGTCTGGGGCCACTTAACGAGAGGTATAGTGCTCGCTGAGACTGGTCGCTCTTGAGCCCTGGCTCCGCACCACTCTTGTGAGCCACGGGGTTGCACAAGTCTATCCAGAACCCTGGCTCCACGCTACTCTTGTGGGCCGCTGGGTCGCACAGGGCCCTATGGAGCCCCCAGTCCTGCCGCTGGTGGCTGGGGAGTGTGGCTGCCCAGTGGGGCCCAGCCCCTGTTCAGTCTTTACTGTAGTTTTCTTGGGGGAAAGGGATAGTTCTGTGCTGCTGGTCTGTGGTTCCATTGCCTGGGGATGGATGTCTGCTCCCCAGCCTCTGTCACTGGGGGTATATCTCAACTCTGATCGGGCTGCTACTGCAGGGGATGGTGCTGGGCTCCTGGCCATTTGCGATTTCCGCAACTGGCACCTTGACAGCTTCACTACTGTGCACTGGTCTGTGTTGACATAGGGTATCCACTGGCCTGATGGTGCCAGGTGCACTGGTGGGCTCAGGTACCCGATGCTGCTTGTTTGAGAGATTTTAGGAAACTGAAGCAGGATCCAAGACAGGTCACTCCTATGGTAAAGCCTTTAGAAACAGCTTGGCTGGGCCCAAAATTTGGGTGGGGCAGGGCCAACAGTGTGAGCCAGGTTGCTGGAGTCCCAGATGTGGCAGCAGTCTGCCTGCCCTGTGGGGGAAGGGTTCACCAAAGGAACAACAGCCTCCACCAGCACGTCTGTCCAGGAGAAAGTTGCCCCTCCAGCCTCATCCGGAGGCCAAACAGCTCAGTTCTTCCTTGTTCTCTGGTGCCCCTCAAGCTGCCTCCCCTGTGAGCTCAGAGGGAGTGGGTCTGAGTAAGTCCTTGCACGTGCCCTTTAAGAGGAACTGCTGGGGCTTCGGCAGCTGCACCCTCCCTCAGTCTTGGTTCCAGCTGGTTTTTATAGCCAGAAGTTATGGGGACTCTTCTTCCTGGCACTGGAACCCTGAGCTGGGTGCCTGGTGTGGGACAGGGACCTCTCACTCTTCAGGGAGGGCCTTCCCAGCCAAGGTGACCCTCCTGATTTTTATGGAACACAATGTGGGTGTTGGGCCAGCCCTTCGGCGCCTCCGCCCCTCCTACCAGTCTTGATGTGGTGGCTTCTTTTTTTTTTTTTATCCTTACCCGAGGACATCTTTCCATTTTTGTACAGATAGAGTGGGAGGGAGAGAGAGGAAGAGAGAGAGAGGGAAACATCGATGTGAAAGGGACACATGACCAACCAGGGCTGGGGACAAACCGCAACCGAGGTACATGCCCTTAGCGGGAACCGAACCCGGGTCTCTCCGGACCGCAGGCAGACGCTCCAACCGCTGAGCCAAACTGGCCAGGGCAGATGTGGCGGCTTCTTTAATTTCCTAGTTGGAGGACTTCCATTCAGCTGGATTTCAGGCAGTTCTGAATGGTGGTTGTGTTGTAGTTTTGTTGTAATTTTGATTTGGTTGTGGGAGTACAATATACTGCTCTTACCTATGCTGCCATCTTTCTGTCTCCTAAACTTAGTTTGTTTTTACAAACAAAAAGTGACTTGGAGTTTGGGTAACTCTGACCTAATTAAAACTATATCACATATGCATAAAAGTAGAGGAGGACAAAAAAGGTTCTGCTAGAAATGCTGACAAAAGAGGCTTCCTCTCCTCTCTCTCCACATTCACTTTTTGAAAGAGGAATTCAGAGTTCGAAAGGTTGCAGAGTTCTGGAATGCTTCCTTGCTTGTGGACCATCTAACAGATACCATTCCAGGCTAACTGGAACTTAATCTGAATGACTTTTGTTTCAAACCTTTTCCATCTGTGGGTAATTAGGTGTTTATTTTTTAGTTAGTAAGTTTTACTTATAAGTTAGGAGCAAAAAAAATCTATTTTAAAGCTCTAAACTATAATTAGTAGCTTGATTTCAGATTCCTTGATGTTCTTGTTTACTAGCCTGTCAACCAATTTGTTGCTAAGTAGTACCTACCTCAGATTAGCCAAAGCAAATAAATTTTATTTAGTAAATTAGTTACATTAACTTATATTTTGACAGTTGTGGTTACTTCTCTGGATCAGCTATAATAAAATTTTAATATAATTTTTCATATTTTCGCTGTTTTTCTTTAATAGCTTTATTAAGATATAATTGAATACAATACACTACACCTATTTAAGTATACAATTTGACAGGTTTTGACATATGTATATACCTATGAAGCCATGACCACAAACAAGATAATGGACATATCCATCAACCCCCAAAACTTCTTTGGGTCCTTTTGTATACCTCCTTCATCTGCTCCCTTCCCACGCCAATCTCTAGACAATTACTGTTCCACTTTCTGTCCTTATTCATTAGTTTGTACTTCTAAAAATTCTGCATAAGTGGAATTACACCACATATATTTATTTTTGTCTGGCTTTTTTCTCTCAGAATAATTATTTGAGACTCATCCTTGTTGTAGCATCTATCAGGTTTGGTTTTGTTTTTTGTTTTTGCTGATTATGTATATATGTCATTGTATTTATAAACTACAGTTTATCAATTCATCTGTGGTAGCCATTTATATTGTTTTCATTTGTTGACCATTACAAAAAAGATACCATGAACACTGATATACAGTTTTGGTCTGACCTAGGCTTTCATTTTTCTTGGTAAATACTTAGAGTGGAGTGGGAGTAAGGATATATTTAACTTTTTAAGAAACTGCCACAGTTGTAACATTCTACATTCCCACCAGCTATGTATGAGAGTCATAGTTCCTCTACATCCTTACTTAGTCAACACTTAGTATGATCAGTCTTTTAACATTAGCCATGCCAACAGGTAGTATAGATGTATGTATATATGTACTAGTACATGTGTTGTGGTTTTAATTCACATTTCTTAATGATTAATTATGGTGAGCATCTTTTCATGTGCTATTTGCTGTCATGTTTATTCTTTGGTGAAGTGTCTGTTTAAATCTTTTGTCCATTTTTATTGGTTTCTTGTTTTTCTATTGAGTTTTGAGGATTTTTAAACCATTGTTTCATATATTTTGTCTGTTTTTTGGTAGTATTGGTCTTAGGGTAAATCTGGTCCCTGTTACTTCATGGCCAGAAGTAGAAGTTCACATTATTTTATCTGTTTTTTAATATTAAATTTTTTTTTTCTTCAGGAGACGACCCACAAAGCCAGTGTTTTATTGAGTGGTAAAATCAAGGTAGAAAATGGTCAGATTTATCAAAATCCAGTCATGTGGCTCAAAGATCTTCTAGGAGGTGACTGTCATGTGACCTGGAATTATGCTTGGAGTAAGGTAGGTCATCTTTAACTTCATAGTCAAGTAGAAAGGTACTTTTTTTAAAAAATCCTCACCCAAGAATATTTTTCTATTTATCTTCAGATAGAGTGGGAGGGAGGGAAAGGGAGAAAGACAGAGAGAGAAACATCGACATGAGAGGGACACATCGACTGGTTGCCTCCCGCACGACAAACTGTAACCGAGGTATGTGCCCTTGACCAGAATCGAACCCATGACTCATTGGTCTGTGGGCTGATGCTCTAACCACTGAAAAAAACCGGCCAGAGCTGGAAAGGTACATTTTTTAACTGATAAAACTACTTACTTTTTAAAAAAAGAAATCTGAAAGTTGTCCAAGCTCATTTTTGTCTCTATGTGTCCCTTCTGCAATATGCTACATGCTTCTCCCACAACACCTATTTGCCAGAATTCCCAGAGGCAGGGTTGCACAGCTGACTGAGCCTTTCCTTCCTTGCTCTCACTTAGTCTCAGAAATTCTAATGCCCCCAATTTTTTTTACCCCAAGTGATTTTAGGTCTTTGTAACTCTATGTAGAAAATTTGGAACCACTGGTATATTAATGATTTATTAATATGTTATCAGTATTATGACAGAATCTTGTCCTAAAGATGGAAGCAATCAGCCAGGGGCCTAAGACCCATAGAAGTTATGGTGAACTTCTATATTTGAAGTCTTATCTATGAATTGCTAGCCCCCCCAAAAGAAATATTTCTTTTCATTTAGGCTTACCAGACTTTGTAGCCTCCCCCTCAGTTTTGTCTTCTGACATAAAGCTAATCTGACCACCAATTTGAAGACTATTAATGACTGACACCCTTGAGGTCTATTGATCAGCCACCTTCAGATGCCTGTGTCACCACTTAAGGAAAGAGTCTTGCAAAGATTTCACCCAGGAAAGTGTGAATAATTGGACATCCACCATTACTGTTTCACATAACTACAGATTTCTTCAGCTTCTACTCACTATTACAGTAAGCCTCAGTGTAGCACTAATAAGAGGCAGTTTCCTCTCTCCCTCTCTTTTTTATTTTCCAATTCACTTCTGCCCACCCTTTCTCCTAACCTCTGCTCTTAGTCTGTGTCCCTAACCTCTGCATTCTGGTCTCCTAGACTTTCGTGGCAGGTGCTTCCAGAACTCTTTTCAGTTCTTTCACTTATATCAGCACGTGTTTAATTTTCTCTGCTTTATAGTTTCTCTGTCCTTTTTTTCCCCTCCTAAAGCATATATTTTTAAAATTTCCAATCCCTGGAGTCAGCAGACATCTGCTTTCAATTCACCCTGTCCAATCCATGGATTCATAAACCATATTTGCATATTAGTAATTAACACTTAACCCATGGAAATCCCCCCCCTTTTTTTACAAAGCTTCTTAAACTTATGATAAATGATATCATTTTGATAAAACTGAATCTATGCTCACAGTGTAAATATGGTACTGATTGCTATAGCTTAGGTTCTTATGAGCTTGACATGCCTCTGTTACTGTGTGCCTTAAGTCTTGATGACTCAAGTCTCCCACTCTTTTTCTCTACTGGAACTACTGCATTTCCTGTTTTTGAATAACTGGCTGTGACATCATCTAGCCCTTAGTACTTCATTTAAATATCACATTGCTTCTAATCTTTTCTCATCAGCCATGTCAATTAGGATTATATTGTTTAATACCTATGTGATAGTGAAGCCAAATATGAAATATTATACCCAATATTAGGGCAAATCTTGGATATAAGATACTTATACAATTATCCGAGCAGGATTATATATTTTTTTAAATTGTCCTAAAAACAGTAAGTTTTAAAAATGTCTATAGGCCTTGCATGTACTTCTAGTAAATACTCTAGGCTGAGAAACACTACCCCAGTGAGTTTCTTTATTGAAGAGTTTACAATATTTAAAAGCCTCTTTTAAAAGTTATCACAGAAACTATCTCTACCTCCTCTTGTCCTGGAATAATTCCTAAGTTCACAGTCACTTCTTGATGAAAGGAGCTTTTGTTACATTGGTAAAGTAAATATTTCAACTGAATAGTTTTAGGAATGTTGCTGGGGCTATGGGACCAGGAATGGTTGGTTGTCAGGCAAGAAATGCCAAAAATACTAGTCTTGTCCTGCAGCAGACAGAATGACAGAGCTACTAGGCACAGAGATGAATTAAATTTCCTACCTTAACAGCTGGGCCTTTCCAGGGGAATTCTGATGATTACTCCCATTGGGTGTCACTGTTTGCTGTTACTGACAGTCACCTAGTTGTTAGGCATCATTCTGATGTGGCAGAGTGATCTCTGTTGCAGACCATGCTTGTTCCTGATACCACCTTTGATAAGTTATATGATGTGGGTAACAGTTTTTAATCCTGCCCATACATTAGAATCACTTGGGGAGCTTTTAAATTTACCAGTGCCTAGTGGACTTCATCCTTATAGCTTCTGATCTAAAGATCAAGTGGTAATATTTTTTAAAAGCTTTCCAGGTGATTCTAATGTGTAGCTTGTAGTGAGAATCACTGATCTAGGTCAAGTCATTTAACCTTTCTGAACCTGTTTTCTTATGTATAAAGTAAGTAGTAGTGCTTAAAAGGTCTCTAAAGACTTTTCCAAGATTCCAAAATGGTGGCAGAGTGAATGGAAGCTACACAGACGATCTCCCAGGACCAAACTGGAATTACAACTGAAATAAAGAAATCATCAGGAAAAAGCAACAGAAAAGCTGCTTGAGAGGACCATATAACCAGGGACAATGAATCGAGCCTAGTAGGTATGTGGAAGTGCAATAAGGGGGCTGGGAGCCCACAGACAGCAGCGGTCTTAGCTGTAAGCAGCGCCCTTGGGGTTAAAATCCCAAGCCGGCTCCACAGTGCAAAGGGCTGGGACAGAGCAATAAATTAGGTACAGCCACTCACCTTAGGCTTCGGCAGAGGAAGGGCCAACTGGACTGGAACTGTGTGAGGACAAGTGGGATTTAAAGGGCGCTCAGAGTTTCTGCTGAGTTGCAGCCACACAGGACGGTGGCCATATTGCTCCTTCCCGGAGCTCTGGAGAGAAGCAGCAGTCTCCCTTGGAGATGCAACTGCACCTAGCTGGGCCAAAGAAATGCAAATTGAGGCTCGATAACAACCAGCATCTGCCTCACCCTCGGGAAATCCTCTTATGCAGAACACCTGAGAAAGTTTTTCATTCAACTGAGAACCCAAGGCTCTTCAAGTAACTAATAGCCTCCAAGCAAAAAGCTAAAGGATAATTGAACCTTTCCTAAGCTTGCAAATCTACCCAGGAAAGTAAGACTTGACAGTGATGTTTAATGTGGGTCCTCCTACGCTCATCCAAACCCAGTAGAGGGAGCCACAAACAGCAGAACACCAACACCCACAGGGAAAATTTGGCAGGCTACAAAACCCATTGAGATAGCCAAAATGGTGAAACAAAGAAACAAATCCGAAATGAAAGAATGAGAGACCTCTGTCAAAGATGAGATAAATGAAATGCAGTTAGGCAAGTATCACCTTGAGTGAAGATATAGAAACATTGAAAATCAACCAATTGGAAATGAAAAACCACGAAGAAGACATGAAGAATGACTCAAGAGAAATTAAGAACACATTGGAAGGACTAAACAGTGGAGTAGAGGACGCTGAGGACCGGATCAATGAATTAGACGACAGGGTAGAAAAAATCAATTAATCAGAAAACCCAAAGGAAAAAACAATTAAAAGACAGGAAGACAGTTTAAGAGAACTGTGGGACAACTGGAATCATAATAATATTCACATCATAGGAGTCCCCGAAGAAGAAAATGAGCAAGGGTTAGAGAATATATTTGAAGAAATAGTGACAGAAAGCTTCCCTAATTTGGTGAAGGAAGAAGGCATTCAAGTTCAAGAAGCACAGAGAGCCCCAAGTAAGAAAAACCTAAACAAGCCCACACCAAGACATACAGTAATTAAAATGCCAAAAATTAAAGACAGAATCCTAAAGGCAGCAAGAGATAAACAATAGGTTACCTACAAAGGAACCCCCATAAAGATGACTTCTCAACAGAAACACTACAGGCCAGAAGGGAATGGCATGAAGTAATCAAGGTCATGAAAAACATGGATCAGAATCCAAGACTGCTCTACCAGAAGGCTATCATTCAAAATAGAAGGTCAAGCCCTGGCCGGTTTGGCTCAGCAGTTAGAGCGTCGGCCTGCGGTACAGAGAGACCCGGGTTCGGTTCCCGCTAAGGACACGTACCTCGGTTGCAGTTTGTCCCCGGCCCTGGTTGGTCGTGCGGGTGGCAACCACTCGATGTGTCCCTTCATATCAATGTTTCTCTCTCTCTCTCTTCCTCTCTCTCCCTCCCGCTCTGTCTGAACAAAAAATGCAAAAAAAATATCCTCGGGTGAGGATCAAAATAGAAGGTCAAATAAAGAGCTTCCCAGACAAAAAAAAAAAGGCTAAGGGACTATATTAGCACCAAACCAGCACTGCAAGAAATGTTAAAAGGACTGCTGTAATTAGTAGAAGAAATAGGAAGAAAAATATAACCACACTAAACAAAAATGGCAATAAATAAGTACATATCAGTAATCACCTTAAATGTAAATGGACTGAATGCTTTGATAAAAAGACACAGAGTAGCCCTGGCCGATTTGGCTCAGCGGTTGGAGCATCGGCCTGCGGTCCTGAAAGACCCAGGTTCAGTTCCCGCTAAGGGCACGTACCTCGGTTGCAGTTTGTCCCCGGCCCTGGTTGGTTGTGTGGGTGGCAGCCACTCGATGTGTTCCTTTCGTATCAATGTTTCTCTCTCTCTCTCTGTTCCTCTCTCTCCCTCCCACTCTACCTGAACAAAGAATAGAAAAATGTCCTCAGGTGTGGATAAAAAAAAAAAAAAAAAAAAAGACACAGAGCAGCTGACTGGAAGAGAAGGCATGACTCACATGCATGTAGTTGCAAGAGACTCACCTCACAACAAAAGACTCACATAGGTTGAAAGTGAAGGGATGGAAAAAATCTTCC